GTAGGTGTCTTCTAGATGTGACCTCACATGATGAAAGGGGCTAGCTAGCTCTCTGGGGCCTTTTTTACAAAGGCATTAAACCCAGACTTGAAGAAGAATCCCAATGACTTGATTACCTCTCAAAGGCCCCAACTTGTAACAGCAGTGCCTTTAGGAGTTAAGATTTTAACATACCAGTCTGGGGTGGGTTAGGTGTTGAGAGGGACACAAACATTCAGATCATAGCAATACAGAATATGGACAACTCCCCTTTCACAGTCAGAATTCTACCTTTGAGCTGGGTGCCTGTAATCCCAGTAACTTGGAAGACTGAGGCAAGAGGATCGTGGGTTCAAAGCCAGCCTCAGCAACTTAGCGAGACCCTGTCTCAAAAAATATGAAAAGCTGGGGGTGTGATTCCCTGGGTTCAATCCTTAATACCCAAAACAAAACAAAACCATGGCCCCCTACCTTTGACCATAAGTCTTCAAGTAAGGGAGCCATACATTCCAGAATGCAGTGCATCACTCCTTTTCCCTCCTCATCCATCCTTTTTCTTTAATTCATTTTCTCTGGAGCTATATCCTATATTAGGAAATGTAGTTTCCTGATTAACATAGATGATAATGAAATTAGAGGTTTAACATGAAATTCACCACCCCTAAACATACTATTCACATTGAGGTGTTGAAAGCCTAATTCTCCAAGTAGTATAGACATTGGTTCTATGAACTCCCTTTCCTCCTTTTGTTACAGAATAATTTTTCCTCCTAATCATAGCACTAACATATGGCATGTTATAAAATATTTTAAGACGTTGGAAAAATATAAATAATAAGCATCCCTACAACCCTTTCCCAAATGTGAACATTAGCCTTTGTGCTTTTTTTTGGGGGGGGGGGCTTTTGTTTTTCTTTTTATAGTACTGGAGTTCAAACTCCAGCTTCCTTGTGCTTTTTTTTTTTTCTTTTTTATAGTACTGGAATTCAAACTCAGGACACTGAAACACTAAGCTACATCACCTGACCTTTTCATTTTTTGAGACAGAGTCTAGATAGTTGCCCAGAGTGGCCTTGAAATTGTGATCCTCCTGTCTTAGCCTCCTGAATAGCTGTGATTAGAGATGTGTGCCACCATTACTGACCCTTCCCTGTGCCTTTTAAAATTACTCTTTTCTTTTTTCAAATTTGGGATCATACTCAAAATTTTTGTAGCTTGTAGTTAAGAAGTTGTATGAGGCCAGAGGTGTAGATAAATTGAAGAATGCATGTTTATCATGCACAAGGCCCTAGGTTTAATCCCTACTACCAAAAAATGAAAGAAGTTGCAAAGGAAGAAACCATAACACAAAATTATTCACTGGTGAAGTGACTGATTCATTACCACTCAACATACTTTATCTCTTAAAAATTTGACTTATTCTAACCTATCTAATAATTGTCTCTGTCTCCATGCTGTGGAGTATCATCCTGAGATCAGTAAAGGATGCTGTAGATCTCTGTGATCAGACAGATCTGTCTGGGTTAGACCAGTTGAAAAACCAAGGAAGAAAAAAGGAATCAATGAATGGTGACAGGATATGCACTTCAAAGAAGAAAGATTGAATGTAAAATAAATACTTAATATTTAATGATGAATATTAAAATGAGCTTTTGGGCACATTGATGTAGTTCTCATATAGTGTTGCCATATAAGTAAATCCAGATGAAAAAAAGGAAATGATGTGCTACTATTTATCCTTTTGATAAAAAAGTTACATTCTCTCATTGCAAAAAAATTCCACTATTGTATTAATTCTTTGACTTACTCTTTGATCTGTGATTAGGAACACCTGTATTTTTATTACTTCTCTAGACTATTTTATTTTTGCTTCAATAAATAGTAACCAGATAGCCACATTTTCCTATTGACTAAACATATGCCTAGAAAAGCTAATTTTCTCTGAAATTAAATTCATGCTTTAAAAAACCTTGAAGCAGAAATTATAGTAAAAAAATTAAATTTTTTTAGGTCTATCAGTCCAATATAGAAGTATTCACTCTGCTTTCTTCTGCAGTTCTTAAAAACAAATTTTATGTAATTTTTCACTGTTTGATTAGTGGATGACTGGTGACCATTAGACTAGAATACACACAATATCTTTGCTAATCTATGAAAATGGGTTTTTAAGTATTGCTAAATTTGTGCTTTTAATTATCCTAGTTATCATATGAATCAGTCTCTAGAACTCTTCTGCTATATTCACCATTCTCTGAGATCTTTCTCACATCTTACATACACATACACATACACACACACACACACATACCACATATATATGGTAAAATGTGTACTTATATATATTTCTATATACATATATGTATATATGTGTGTGTGTGTGTGTATGTTTATTTATTTATTTTTTGAGTACTAGGGATTGAACTCAGGGGCACTCATCAACTGAGCCACATCCCCAGCCATATTTTGTATTATAGGTCTCACTGAATTGCTTAGTGCCTTGCTGTTGCTGAGGTTGGCTTTGAACTCATGATCTTCCTACCTCAGCCTTCTGAGCTGCTGGGATTACAAGCATGCACCACCATGCCCAGTACATTTCACTATATTTGAGTCACCTGGGGATCTTGTAAAAATGCAGATTTTGAATTGTTGGTCATGAGGGTAATAGGAGTCAAAATTCTACATTTGGGACCAGCTCCCAACCATGCCAGGGCTACTGGCCTTTGGACTACACTCTGTTTGAATAACAAGGCTTTCATTAATAGTTTTGGAAACAGAAGCCAGGCAAAACCTATTGAAGTCATTTCTTGTTCTGATAACTTTATGGTACATGTGTAGTTTATTAGTATTGTGTATTTTCCCAATGGGAACATGTGTGTTGAATTATCACTTGCAGTTATGTGAACTTTTCTATGATTTTTCTGTCAGGAGTGTTATTTATAGTGGTGATATTTGTAAAGAATGGTAACTGTTGAACCCCATCGCAAAGAAAAGACCACCGGACTCCCATTTTAAATCAAATTAAGCAAGCTTGTATTTGTGTACACAAAGAGAGCTGATTGTTGGCTGTCTCTCCTAATGCAGGCTAGAGACCAGCACCCTAGCTCTTCAAGAACAAGATTTTATAGCACAAAAAGTTGCAGAGGGGGGTGTCTTGAGAACTTACAGCCAACAGGATTTTAACAAACATAATACAAAGGCCAGATAGTAGGTTAATGATCTACATGGCATGATATTTCAAGGTAGGGAGTAAATTCAGATCCCAACATCAGAATTTATGAGATGCTGCTGAGGTTTCAGAGAAGGTTGTTATCTGGTCAGGGAGAGCCAGGATTTATGAGCCACCACTAAGGTTTTAGAGAAGGTTGTTATGTGGTCAGGGAAAGCCAGGCATGGGTGAGTTCAAGGCAAAGGCAGGAATTCCAAACAAGTTTAGAAATCGCAGTAATTATAGTAAAACAGAAATTAACTTTTCATGACTTTGTGACAAGATGGCTCTTAAGAAGGAATTAGGCTGGGTTCATCAGTAACATACCAATGATGATATAATGGTTAATATGTACTGACTTCAGATGCTGCTTTACAAAAGTTGACTAAATTTTCTCAACAAAACCATGAAGTAGACATTATTATTACTATCCTCCTTTACAAAGGAGGAGTCTGAAACACAAGTTCATTTTCATTCTTTACAGGTAACACAGCTATCAGGTAAACAAGCCAGGATATCAGCTCAGATAGTCCAATTCAAGAGCTCATACCTTTAATCTTGTTCCTAGTCTGATACAGTCCAAAAATTTATATAACATATATATGAATTTTCTAGTTCTTTCACAGTTCATATAAGATAATGTTTGAATTTTTCAGTTTCTTTCCTAAAAGTCTTCTGAAATGTAATTGTCTTCTTCTTTATGTTTTCCATCCTTGTGGCTTTGCCGCAGATACTGATGACTTGTAATTTGTAACTAGTTTTTCCTTTTTTTAGTTTCCATTTTGCATGTGTATTTAGAGAAAATGTTTTAACTGTCCATTTGCTTTATTGTGGAAATTTATGAAGAATGAAAAGTAGTACCCTACCCTGAAAGAAAGCTAAAAGATTTTACTAAGGTTTAGACTATGTTTTCTGCAAGAGTAGCCCAGGAAAGTAGCATCTTACAGATTGTCACGGAAAACTAGTTGATGTGTGTGTGTGTGTGTGTGTGTGTATGAGAGAGAGAGAGAGAGAGAGAGAGAGAGAGAGAGAGAGAGATACACTAGGGATTGAACCAAGAGGTACTCCACCACTGAGCTACATTCCCAGCCCTTTTTATTTTGCGACACTGTTTTGCTAAATTTCTTTCTTTCTTTTTTTTTTGTAAGAGAGAGAGAGAGAGAATTTTAATATTTTATTTTTTAGTTTTCGGCGGACACAACATCTTTGTTTGTATGTGGTGCTGAGGATCGAACCCGGGCCACACGCATGCCAGGCGAGCGCGCTACCGCCTGAGCCACATCCCCAGCCCTGTTTTGCTAAATTTTGCAGCTTGGCTTTGAAGCTGGTAATCCTCCTGCCTCAGTCTCCTGAGTAATAGGGATTATAGGCGTGCCAGTTCTTCAGTACATTTTTAAAATTTTGAATTTTTTTTCAATCCAAATGGTAATTGTATGTAGTGACAAGTATAGAGACATACCTTCCATTCTAAGTTCTACCAAAGCACCAGATGATCTTAGAGAAGCTAAGAGCTCTATGCCCAACTTCTCAGCCAATCAGATGTCAGCACTATAGATATATAGTACTTGAGCTGGTCTATCTTCATGTTAAGGAGAAAAGAACACAGGGAAAGAGAGTATTTCTAAGTGCATAGGTTGTTGGTGGAAATTGAGTAGAAATTAGTTTAGCTTAGAAAAATGTGTTACTTCATTTTCAGGTTAATTTCATAGTCAGTAAGCCAGAAGAGGTCATGATGATAAATAAGATTATAGCTATCTTATTATTTATCTCAAAGTAATATGAAGTTATTTACTTTCATTATCTTTTCCTTTTACAGTCCATCAATATTATGGAGCTGACTTTACAGAAATATGGAAGCTATGAAAAATTTGAACAAGCTACTGGTGGTAGTTTGTTATCTAAACCTCGAATCTGGAATCATGTTAGGAAGTACATGATGAAGGAAGGCTGCCTGGGAGAGGTATGGATCATGAGTAAATACTATAGGAGTTGGCTGTGGCATTCTAATACTCAGTGCCATATAATTTTTTCCTGCAGGTTTTGTTTGCCAATCCAAATTTACTCCTTATATTAGTCACCGGATTTCTCACTAATAAATATTTTAAGTTCCTCTTGTCTTGATGTGTTCAGTTTCTTTGTATTTCTTCTTTTATTACTGACATTTCTGTGTAGCTTGTGGGATTACAAGAAAAACTTGTTAAATGAGGAGTTTTTCCTGAGAGTCTCTCTTATTAGTAGTCTGATCTTAGTGGCCAATCTTAGAGCCCTGGCACTGGCAACAAACAGAAATCTGTTGGTCCTTCTTTTGCATCATTTTAGCCAGGGCTATTTGAGAAGACCCCACAGGTAAAATTTTAAGTTCTCTGTTGTTTTCTGTGAAAGCTTTTTTTCCCTTACCCCTTTATATTTTGTGGTGTGTGTTTGTGTGTGTGTGTGTTGTGTGTCTGAATGTGTGTGTGTGACACACATATTGTCCCCTGCCCCTTTGCTCCTTAGATTGTAGTTCATCTCACTGAGGACCTACTTTCCCGTGCTTCAATGACAGTAGTAAATGGATGTCCAACTCTGACCATCAATGTTTCCACTGCACGTGAGCATTGGCTGGAGGGAATGCTGAGGCACGAAATAGGTATGAGTAACACTTTTCCTTTTTTTTCTATTTGTAATATCAGGAATTAGCCCCAAAGAAATATTCTTAATAGTATTCAGCAAAATGTCACGAGGTGTTTAAGCTTTGGTTGGACTAAAGGTAAATTATCTATATCTCTTTTCAAATTAGATTTTTTAACTGTGGTAAGCTTGAAGTCACTTAACTCCTCTGGATTTCAGTTCACTCACCTTAAACTGAGGGGGTTCAGTGACTCTAAGATTTTTTTAAAATATCAGTCTGATTCTTCTCTCTTAACAATATAGTTGTAAAGGTTATACCCTTTCACATGAGACATATGGACCTTGTAAAGACAGCAGCCTACTTTAGACCTCAAAGGCTTAGGCTCAGGTCATTTTCTACTTTGTTTTTATCTGTAGGTACACATCAATTTAGTTTTAGAACTGTTTATGCAATATTTTCTATGAGTTTTCTGTTACTATAACAGATAAGTGAGGCAATCAACTTGGAATACGTTTATTTTGGTTGACAGTATTGGAGTTTTCAGTTCAGGATCATTTGGCCCCCTTGCTTTTAGGACTGTGGTGAGATTGCACATTATAGTAGGAGTGTGTGCTGAGCAAAAATTCTCAACTCACAGCCAGAAAGAGAAAGGAAAAATAAGGGACTGAAATAATCACTGCCTCCAGTTACCTGAAGGCCTCCCCCTGGGCCTTTCTAGCACTTAGGCCTTTGGGGGGCGCACTAGCTCCAAACTTTAGCATTTTCTTTGGAAAAGAATTTTTAAAAGAATGCCTTTTTTTATTATTATTATTCTTTTCCATAGGCACACATTATTTTCGAGGCATTAATAATCTGCAGCAACCATGGAATAGTTGGACTGGTCGTAAAAAACATGAGCTAAAGCCAAACAATCCTACAGAAGAAGGACTGGCAAGTATTCACAGTGTCCTGTTCAGAAAAGACCCCTTTTTATGGAGGGCTGCCCTCCTCTACTACACTGTTTATCAAGCCAGCCAAATGTCTTTTTGTGAACTCTTCAAAGACATTGGCAAATTTGTCAAGGACCCTAATACAAGGTGGGATTATTGTGTACGAGCCAAAAGAGGATGGACTGATACTTCTCAACCAGGTAGGTGTCTCTTGACTGTGGGTTTTTGACTTAATGATTAGTTATCTAAGTGATTCTAGTCATATCCTAATCTCTTAATTTGATAATTCACTCACCTATGAAAAAAAATAAACCTTTGTTATTGAGACAGAACCAATTTTCTAAAAACACATTTTCTCCACTTTACTCTTGCCTAGCTTATTTTTAAAAACTTTAGACCAACAATATGGAAAGAATAGTATAGATGAAATATTCCCTTCATCTAGATTCACAGGTATTAAACTTTTTTTGCCATTTTTACTTTATCTCCCTTTAAAAACAGTATATTTCCAAGAGAGGTGTGCACACACCTATAATCCCAGCTACTTGAAAGACTGAAGAAGTAGCAAGTTGAGGCCAGCCTGAGCAACCTAGTGAGAGCCTATTTCAAAATAAAAATAAATCCCTATCTATGGCAGAGTACTTGCCTTGCCCACAAGAGGTCCTTGATCCTCAGTACTGAAAACGGGGGTGGGGAGGAAGCTTTCTTGAGATATAATTCACATACTTTAAATTCGCCCATTTAAAATGTAAAGTTTAGTGGGTTTTAGAGTATTCAGAGTTGTGCAGCCATCACTACTAATTTCAGAATATTCTCATCACATCCACCCACTGCAAAACACCCATATCAATTTTCAGTCATTCCCACCAGTGTATGAGTACTCCTCTTCCCTGTCCTGTACCCCTGCCAACCCCCGCTTTTTTTTTTAAACCAGAGGCATTTTACCACTGAGCCACATACCCAGCCATTTCATGTTTTATTTTGAGACAGGGGCTCACAAAGTTGCTTAGAGCCTCACTAAATTGCTGAGGCTGGCCATGAACTTTGGGGTCCTCCTGCCTCAGCCTCCTGACCCACTGAATTATAGGCATGCAACACCATGCCTGGCTTTTTCTACATATTTGCCAATAATTGCTATGTTCATTTTGTAAACTAGCATTATTATTTGAACTTCCCAGTGGTTATGGAGAGGTAACTTATTACAGTTTTGCATTTACCTGATGACTAATGACATTAAGCTTTTTAAAATTTGCTTATTGGCCATTTGTGTAGCTGCTTTTGAGTACTGTCTGCTTGGTCTTTTCCCTATTTTTAAATTGGATTGTCTTTTTATTATTGAATTACAAATTATACACACACACACATATTTTGTAAGGTTTATGATTTACAAATATTTTCTACCATTCTGTGGGTTGTTTTTTCACTTTCTTGATGGTGTTTTTTGACTTTTAAATCTAAGGTTTTTTTAAGTTGGTGTATTATAATTATACATAACAATGGGATTGGATGTTACATATTTATATATGCACATAATTTGATCAGTTTCATTCCTATCTCTCCTTTCCCTTCTCTCCTCCCTTCTCCAGGTTCCCTACCTCTCTTCTACTGGTTTCTCTTCTATTTTCATGAGATCCTACCCCTTTTGTTCTTTTTTTCTAACCTCCACATACAAGAGAAAACATGACTTTTGACTTTGAGTCTAACTTATTTCACTTTGTATAATGCTCTCAAGTTCCATTCATTTTTCTGCAAATGACATAATTTTGTTCTTTTTATGGTTGAAAACTCCATTGTGTGTATATACCACATTTTCTTTATCCATTCATCTGTTGACAGATACCTAGACTGGTTCTGTAATTTGGTGATTATGAATTATGCTACTATAAACTGAGTTCACCTATATCACTATGGTATGCTGAATTTAATTCTTCTGGATAAATACTAAGAATAGTATAGCTGTTCCATTCCTAATTGTTGTTTTTTGCTAAGAAATTTAGCATTTCTTTACTTTTAAATTACCTAAATTGATTTAGTTTATGTTTGAAGGCCACTCCATAGTCAAAATGCAAAATTCAGAAGGTAAAAAATTATGCAATGGAAAGTAATTTTTTCCTCATCCATGTCTCCAACATCTAGTTTTTAAAAATTTTTATTAGTTCCAATCAGTTGTACATGACAATAGAAAGCTTTTTGATTCATTGTATACAAATGGAGCACAACTTTTTATTTCTCTGGTTGTTTACAATGTAGAGTTGCACCACATGTGCAGTCATACATGTACCTAATGATGTTCATTTCATTTCACCATCTTTCCTACCCCTATGCCCCCTCCCTTTTCCTCCCTCCCCTTGGCCCAGTCAAAGTTCCTTCATTCTCCTCCTCACCCACATTACAGATCAGCGTCCACTTATCAGACAGAACATTTGGCCTTTGGTTTGGGGGGATTGTCTTAATTTGCTTAGCATGATATTCTCCAACTGCATCCATTTATCTGCAAATGCCATAATTTTATTCTCTTTTAATGCTGAGTAATATTCCATTGTGTGTATGTATGTGTGTGTATGTGTGTGTGTGTGTATATATATATATATATATATATATATATATATAATATATTTATATATATATATATATAATATATATATATCAGTTTTTTTTTTATCCATTCATCTACTGGAGGGCATTTAGGATGGTTCCACAGTTTAGCTATTGTGAATTATACAGCTATAAACATTGAAGTGACTGTGTTACTGTAGTATGCTGTTTTTAGGTTCTTTAGGTATAGAACAAGGAGTGGTATAGCTTGGTCAAATGGTGGTTCCATTCCAAGTTTTCCAGGGAATCTCCATACTGCTTTCCAGATTAGCTGCAACAATTCGCAGTCCCATCATCAATGTATGAATGTGCCTTTTCCCCTTCATTCTTGCCAACACTTATTGTTGTTTGTATTCTTAATAGCTGCCATTCTGACTGGAGTGAGTAGAGTAGTTTTGATTTGCATTTCTCTGATTTCTAGAGATGTTGAACATTTTTTTATATATTTGTTGATTGATTGTATATCATCTTCTGAGAAGTATCTGTTCAGATCCTTGCCCCATTTATTGATTGGGTTATTTGTTTTTTTGTTGTTAAGATTTTTGAGTTCTTTATATATCCTAGAGATTAGTGCTGTATTTGATGTGCATGTGGTAAAAATTTGCTTCCAAAATGTAGGCTCTCTATTTACCTCACTGATTGTTTCTTTTACTGAGAAGAAGCTTTTTAGTTTGAATTCATCCCATTTATTGATTCTTGATTTTAATTTAATTCTTGTGCTATAGGAGTCTTATTAAGGAAGTAGGGGCCTAATCAGTATGATGGAGATTGAGGCCTACTTTTTCTTCTGTTAGACACAAGGGTCTCTGGTTTAATTCCTATGTCCTTGATCCACTTTGAGTTGAGTTTTATGCATGGTGAGAGATAGGGGTTTAATTTCATTTTGTTGCATATGGATTTCCAGTTTTCCCAGCACCATTTGTTGAAGAGGCTATCTTCTCCAATGTATGTTTTTGGCTCCTTTGTCTAATATAAGGTAACTATAGTTATGTGGGTTTGTTTCTGTGTCCTCTATTCTGTACCATTGGTCGACAAGTCTATTTTGGTGCCAATACCATCAATGAAATTGAAACAAATTAAACAATTGAACAAATTGACAAAACAAAAAGTTTAAAAAATAAATAAAATTGGCAAACCCTTAGCTATGTTAACGAAGAGAAGGAGAGAGAAAACTCAAATTACTAACATTTGTGATGATAAAGGAAATATCACAACAGACACTACAGAAATACAGAAGATAATTAGAAATTATTTTTAAAACTTACTCTCCAATAAAATAGAAAATATTGAAGGCATTGACTAACTTATAGAGCCTTATGATTTGCCCAAATTGAATCAGGATGATATATACAATTTAAACAGATCAATTTCAAGTGATGAAATAGAAGGTGCATCGAAATCCTACCAACCAAGAAAAGCACAGAACAGGATGGATCTAGAGCTCAGTTCAACAAGACCTTTAATGAAGAACTAATACCGATACTCTCCAAATTATTTCATGAAATAGAAAAAGAGGGAACACTTCCAAACTCATTCTGTGAGGCCAGTATCACCTTGATTCCAAAACCAGGCAAAGATACATCAAAGAAAGAAAACTTCAGACCAATATCTCTAATGAATATAGATATAAAAAATCTCAATAAAATTCTGGCAAATCAAATACAAAAATATGTCAAAAAGATAGTACACCACAATCAAGTGGGGTTCATCCCAGGGATACAAGGTTGACTTAGAGATAAGAATCATGATCATCTCAATGATGCAGAAAAAGCATTTGACAAAATATAGCACTTCTTCATGTTTAAAACACTATAAAAACTAGGGATAATAGAAACATATCTAAACATCATAAAAGCTATCTATGCTAAACTCCAGGCTAACATCATTCTAAATGGAGAAAAATTGAAAGCATTCCCTCTAAAAACTGGAACAAGACAGAGATGCCCTCTTTCATCACTTCTATTTAACATAGTTCTTGAAACACTGGCCAGAGCAGTTAAATAGATGAAGGAAATTAAAGGGATACAGATAGGAAAAGAAGAACTCAAATTAGCACTATTTGCCGATGAAATGATTCTATACCTTGAAGACCCCAAAAATTCCACCAGAAAACTTTAAAAACTAATAAATGAATTCAACAAAGTAGGAGGATATAAAATTAACACCCATAAATCAAAGGCATTTCTATATATCAGTGATAAATCCTCTGAAAGGGAAACGAGGAAAACTACCCCATTTACAATAATTTCAAAAAAATTAAAATACTTGGGAATCAACAAAAGAAGTGAAAGATCTCTACAATGAAAACTACAGAACACTAAAGAAAGAAATTAAAGAAGACTTTAGAAGATGGAAATATCTCCCCTGTTCTTGGATAGGCAGAATTAATATTGTCAAATGACCATACTATCAAAATCTCTATACAGATTTAATGCAATTCCAATAAAAATCCCAATGACATTTCTCATAGAAATAGAAAAAGCAGTCATGAATTCATCTGGATAAATAGAAACCCAGAATAGCTAAAGCAATCCTTAGCAAGAAGAGTGAAGTAGGTGGCATCACTATCCCATCTCCTATTTAGATCTTTTTGTCTGCTTTAGTGGTCTGTCCCCAGGGCTTTCCTGTTATCCTTGATACCTCGCCAGGGCACATCACTTTTAGACCAATCCTTTTTTTTCTTATCTTCACATATTTTTAAAAGCTTTTTATTATGAAAATTTCAAATGTACATAAAGTAAGTATCATTAAGGTGCTGCATCCTCAGTACATTCCCTGATCCTAGTCATAATTGACATTTTACAACTGTAATTCGTCCATCCTTCCATGTTCTTGTTTCCAAGTAGTATTGTAAATCCAATTCCAGCATCATGTTCATGAGTAGTTCAGTGTGTATCTCTAGCTGATTAGAACAGTATTTTCCATAATTCGTATGCTATTAGTATACCTAACAAAATAATAATTCCTTAATATATGATTATGGTAGAAGTTTTGTTCATTTAGTAAATGTAGATCAAATTTTTATTTTTTAGATGTACACAAGTTATTTCAGGATGGGAAAAAGGTTTTCTTTGTAAATATAACATCTTTTTCTAACTAGGCTTAGATCTCATGACCTGTTCCTAACTTTCATATTTTCTTTGTCCTCCTTTTGTTTTTGGCAGTACTAAGGATTGAACCCAGGCCCTTGCACATGCTAGACAAATGCTCTATTACTGAGTGTGTCCCAGCTCTTTTTTTTTTTTTTAATATTTATTTATTTTTTTAGTTTTCGGCAGACACAACATCTTTGTATGTGGTGCTGAGGATTGAACCCGGGCCCCACACATGCCAGGCGAGCACACTACCACTTGAGCCACATCCCCAGGCCCCCAGATCTTTTTTGTTTTATTTTGAGACAAGGTCTTTTTAAGTTGGCCATGTTGGCCTCGAACTTGCAAGTCTCCTGCCTTAGCCTCCAAAGTAGCACTCATATTTTTTCTATTCCTAGCCCTATACATTCTTCAAAATCTAGTTCTAATTCTTATTTTTACATAAAGATACAGTATTTTGCCCAGGGTGTTTTTAAACCATAGTATTTTCTTTTTAAGGGTGGGGGAAACAAATGTTTAACAACAACAATAACAAAAAGAAACCCAGCTGGGGTCTGGGATTGTGGCTCAGCAGTAGAGCTCTTGCCTAGCATGGGCAGGACCTGGGTTCGATCCTCAGCACCACATAAAAATAAAGGCATTGTGTTGTGTCCATCTACACATAATAATAATAATAATAATAATAATAATAATATATTTTAAAAAAGGAACAGGGCTTTCTAAAATTCCACGTTTCCACATAGCTGTGTCCCATTTTTAAAACCTAACTGCTCCCAAACTTATATTTTTTTCTCACCCAAATGCCTTCATTGCACCATGGGAGTTAGAGTATGATTAATTGACAGAGGTAGGATGATTATTTATTAAGACTCATGTATTTTAAATTGTCAGCCCTTAAAATGACAAGAAAATGTTATTTCAATTAGGGATAGAAGGGTCTTGGGGAGGGACTTCTTAGAGGGAAGCTACCAGTCTTCTTATTGTCTTGGTGCTTTTCAAGACCTCAGAATTTATATTATGAAGATAGTTAAAATAAAAATAAACATTGGACAATTACATTTTTATTTTTGAGGTGCTATTTTTGAGCTTGCCAGGTAATTGCTCTGACACTGATATGTACCCCCAAACACAAATTAGAATTTTTAAAATACAGGACTGTTTCTACAGTGAAGAAAATGAGAATCTAATTTCTTAGTAGTATTTTTGAGCATCAGAAAGTAAATATTATTCTGGTTCCTTCAGGGTGTTTCAGTAAAGACCAGGTATACTTAGATGGAATTCTTCAAATCCTTCGATACAGAGACTCCATAGACTTTCATCTACTCACTGCCCTGGGGAAGGTAAGTAAAGATCACATATCACCAAACATACTGGGTCAGCATTTATTCTAGTTTGATTTGATTAAATGAGACTCAAATTCAAACTGTTTTTACTTTATTATTGGAGTAAATTTTCTTTATGTGATAACAGAAGGGAAGTAAGAAATAAAGGAATAGAAAAATTGGGAATATGTATAGTTTTATTTTTATATCAGTTTTTTTCTGAAAATAAGTTTCTTATAAGCATCCCTTTCTAAAAGCATTTTAAAGTAAGCTACAGCTGTAACACTTCCCCTGTAATATCTCTTAAGGACAAGGATATTCTGTGGCATGACCATACAATTTTTCAAAGAAACTCTTCATTGATTCAATATAGCACTTAAAATATATACTTCAAATTTTCTTAATTGTCTCTAATATATTCTTGTAGCTCTTTTTGTGATCCAGGATTGGATCAAGAATTATTCATTGCTTTTGGTTATAGTCTTTCATCTTTTTAAATGTAGAATAGTCCACCCACTCCATTCTTTTTGTATTTTCATGACATTTTGAAGAATTCAGGACAATGTTCTTTCTTGAGAAATCCTACAGTTTAGATTATTAGATTGTTTCCTCCTGATGAGATTATAGTAAACCTCTTTGTCAAGGATACTGCGCAAGTGATCTGTGTATTTTCCATTGCATCACATAGAAAGCACATGTAGTTTTGCACCTTTACTGGTGATTCTGTGTTTAATCACCTGAGTAAGTTAGTGACCACCAGATCTTTCCATTGTAAAGAAACCTTTATCCCATGGTATAAATAAGTCAACTTTGGGGCAATATCTGTTAATAGGCTGTTCTCTAACAACCTTTTAAGGAATGGTGTTAATATCCATAGATGATCTTTGCCCACTTATTATACCAATGATGAAATAGAGATCTAATTTTCTTATATTTCTTCTTTTATTCCCCCCTTTTTTAATAGTAGTGGACTTATATTTTTATTCAACTCTTTCATGACTGCTCCTTTTTTTCTTAATGTCTCCATGTTTTCTGGCAAAGTAAAATATCCTGGGCCTATCTTATGTACTTCTTACCCAAATCTGAGATTAGCCATTTTAAGGAAATATTGCTTACTTTTAGTAGGTAATGGTATATAGAAAATAAGCTCTGAGCACCAGGTCTGGTCTTGCAATGGGGGACATTTTCAATGAGCAAATCCTATATAACTCTTTTAAATCATATAGCATTTTAATTCAAATCAGAACTCACTGAATTTTTTCACATTTCCCCTCATTCCATATTTTCATCTTTTTTTTTTTCTTAAATTAAGAACCTCATTCCCCAGTGTAAGTACAGGCATCTCAGATATTGCACGATTGGTTCCAGACTACTGCCACAAAGTGAGTATCACAGTAAAGTGAGTAATACAGAGTGTTTTGGTTTCACAAATGAATGTAAAAGTTATGTTTGTGCTATACGGTAGTCATTAAACTTAGTAGGGTTATGTCTAAAAAATGTGTATACCTTAATTTAAAATATTCTATTGCTAAAAAAAAATGCTATTATCTGAGCCTGCTGTGAGTCATATCTTTTTGCTGATGGAGGGTCTTGCCTTGATGTTGATGGCTTATGATTGATCAGGGTGATGGTCATTGAAAGTAGGGTAGCTGTGGAAATTTATTAAAATAAAGACAGTATTGAGGATTGCCACATTGATTGACTTTTTTTTAATGCCATTTGATAGCATTTTACCCATAGTAGAACTTCTTTCGAAATTGGACTCTTCTCAAACCCCATTTTTTTTAATATCAAAAAGATTATGTGATATTCTAAATCCTTTGTTGTCATTTTAACAGTGTTTACAACATCATCAGTAGATTCCATCTGAGGAAACCACTTGCTTTGTTCTTACATAATAAGCAACTGTTTGTCCATTAAAATTTTATCATGAGATTGAAGCAATTCAGTCACATCCTCAGGCTCCACTTCCAGTTCGAGCTCTGTTGCTTTTTCCACTACATCTGCACTTGAGCCCTCAGTCATCTAGGAGGGTTGGTATCAGCTTCTTCCAAACTCCTGTTAGTATTAATATTTTGACCTCCCATGTACCTCAAATGTTTTTAATGATATGTAGAATGGTGAATCCTTTCCAGAAGATTTCCAGTTTACTTTGCCCAGATTCATGAGAGGAGTCATTATATATGACAGAGCCTTACAAAATGTACTTCTTAAATAATAAGACTTGTAAATTGAAATAACTCCTTGATCATAGGGTGTACAATGGATGCTGTGTTAGCAGACATGAAAACAGCATTAAACTTGTATATTTCCATCAGAACTCTTGGGTGAATAGGTCATTATCAATAAGTAATAATATATGAAAGGAATCTTTTATGAGCAGTAGGTTGCAACCATGGGCTTCATATATTTAGTAAACCATTTTGTAAACAGAGATACTGTCATCTCGGCTTGGTTGTTCCATTTATAGTACATAGGAAGAGTAGATTCAGTATAATTCTTAAGGATCCTAGTACTTTTGGAATGGTAAATTGACTTCTACTTAAAGTCACCAGCTACATTAGCTCCAAACAAGAGAGCCAGCCTACACTTTGAAGCTTTGAAGCCAGGCATTGACTTCTCTCTATCTATGAAAGTGCTAGGTGGAACTATCTAACATAAGGCTGTTTTGTCTATATTGAAAAATCTATTGTTTAACATAACCAGCTTCATCAGTTTTCCTAGCTAGATCTTCTGGATAACTTGCTTCATCTTGAATCGTCTTTTAAAATTAATTTTTATCTGAATTCTTAAGTGTGCTGGTGATGACTTCTTTCCAAAACCTCATGAACCAACTTCTGTTAGCTTCAAACTTTTCTTCTTCAACTTCCTCACCTCTGTCAATCTTGAAGGAATTGAGGAGAGTTAGGACCTTGCTCTGGACCAGGGTTTGGCTTAAGGGAATGTTGTGGCAGGTTTCATCTTCTATCTAGACCACTAAAATATTTTTCATATCAACAATAAGGCTGTATTACTTTCTTATCATCCATGTGTTCACTGGAATGGCATTTTTAATTTCCTTCTATAAACTTTTCCTTCACAACTTTGCTAGCTGTTTGGCATAAGAGATCTAGCTTTAGGCCTGTCTTGGCTTTTGACATGCTTTTTATACTATGCTTAATCATTTCTGGCTTTTGGTTTATAATAAGACACCTATAGACTCATCCTTTCTCTTAAGGTCTACTTTCACCTAGAGGCCATTGTAGGGTATTAATTGGCCTAATTTGAATATTGCTTGTCTCAGGGAATTAGAAGCTTGAGGAGGGGGAGAGATAAGAGAGTGGTGGCCTGGTTAGAGGAATAGTCTGAACATAGACGTTTATTAAGTTCACCATCTTAAAAAAATGAGCACAGTTTTTGGTACCACAAAACAGAATAATAACATCAAAGATCATTGATCACAGATCACCATAATAGAATAATAATAAACATGTTTGAGATACTGTGAGACATTACTAAAATGTGACACATGGACACAAAGTAAGTGCATGCTGTTAGAAAAATATTGCCAGTAAGTTTGCTCAGTGCAGGGTTGCTATAAACTTTCAATTTGTTAAAAAAAAAAAAAACTATGAAGTGCAATAAAACAAGGTATGCCTATATATCTACTCATTCTGTCCTATCATAAATTCATAATGGTTTCAAAATTACCATACCAATATCAGAAAACCTATTTTCATTACATTTAGGTGTATAAATACTAAGTAATGTTTAATAACAATGAAAACATTAAAATACTAATGAAGTACAGATACAATATGAACATGATTTCTTTATTAAAAAGTCTTCCTACTGAATCTGGAAAAACATTGATCATAAGACAGTATTTTGCCGAGAATAGTGGCATATGCCTGTACTATGAGTTGGGAGGCTGTGGCAGGAGAATTACAAATTGTAGGTTAGCCTCAGTAACTTAGCAAGGTCCTGTTTCAAAATAAAAATTAAAAAGGCTGGGGATGGGGCTCACTCAAGCGGTAATGTGCTCGCCTGGCATTCACAGGACGCTGGATTCGATCCTCAGCACCACATAAAAAAAAATAAAGATGTTGTGAAACTGAAAAATAAATATTAAAAAATTCTCTCTCTCTCTCTCTCTCTTCTCTCTCTCTCTCTAAAAAGAAAAAAAAAGGCTGGGAATGTAGCTCAATAGGTTCATCCCCCATAGTATTTAAAATTAATCATGTTTTGAAATTTAAAGATAAACAGATAATTTATAGAACTTAAAAGTTTCACCACTAACCCTGACATAAATATCCATTAAAAATTTTTGCTTTTTATTTAGGAGAGATTCAATTTTTTAAAAAAAATTTAAATTCAAAATAAAGGAGACAACTTAAACACAAATCACAATGTTTCCCAAATTAAATATAAAGAAATAAGAATTTAATATACAATTGTATTTATTCTTCTAATTTAATAACTATTCTGTTCTTTTATTTAAATTTAGGAGATTTGTTTCTTTCATACATATATAAGGCTTAGTTTCTTAATTTTATTTTATATCTTTAGTTGTTGATGGACATAATTTTATTTTTTATTTATTATGTGGTGCTGAGGATCAAACCCAGTACCTCACACATGCTAGACAATCGCTCTACCACTAAGCCACAACCCAAGCTCCAAGTTATCAAATTTTTGGACAAACTGATTTGGGCCCAAAATAGAATGTTAAATCAAATATTGACTGACTTTCAGTCTTCTTTTAATATGATTGTGGTATGAGGGGGCAGACAAATATATTTTTATTTAACATAGTAAAGAAAAGTAAGCCACTGATTCTTGGTATTTTGCAGCTATTAGAGTAATATGACAAATGATTATATATTTCTATTTAAGACTTCAGGAAAAAATTCATCTTCAAAACTTAACTTATAGTTAGTTGTGTATTAACATTGCCCCTTTATTTCAGGTTTCTTATGAAGATGTGGATCGTTTAAAAGGATTGGCAGTTACTGAAAACATGAGGGTCCCTCACTTCCTGCAAGACTATGACCGGTATATGGAACATTTAGAGAAGATCATGGAAGTGAATGAACTGACTGACAGAGAACTGAAAGACCTCATATAGTAATTAGCATTCTTGCAAACATAGTTCAGCTATACCTCCATATATATTACCAATTAGGTGCAGTTAACACCAACAGATTTATAAAAGAAGAATGAGTTTTTACTTGAGTTTTCTGAAGAATAGTCTTCAGAATTTGGCTGAATTTTTAAGTTAAACAAACCTTAAATTATTTCCCCAAAATGTTTCTATAGGCTTCAGAGGAAAGTTAACTCTTATTTTCATCTGAATCTCACCAGAGTCAAATGAAAATACTACTGCTGAGTGTTTTTGGAGACTGTTGGTTGAATCAAGTAATAAACTGAGCACTGAGGCTAGCTCCAACTGGAGATAGGTGAATTTCAGGCAGTGTCATGCTGACTCCAAGGTCATATTATTCTCCTTTGAAAAATTAGTTTGTGACACTCTAGAAGGCTAACTATATCTAAGATTTCTTGTTTCTCCTGTATGTTAAGTAATGTTAAATGGAGGGGAGAAAACAATTTGAAAAGTTTTCATTAAGTCCTTTATTTATTTCATGTACTATTGTTTTAACTTCTCAGTTTATAAGAACTAAATTGAGTCTTTTTTGGTGGTGGCAATGGGGATTGGACCCAGGACCTCACACATGCTCAATACATATATGCTTTGCCACTAAGCTACTCCTCCATGTGCCCCTCCTCTGAGAATTGCCTTTTTTTTTAAATCTAGTTATATCTCTTGACTAGACTCTGTTTTCATTTGATGAAATATTGTGCCCCTTTAAATAGTTAGCAAAGTTTTAAGGTCTTTCCCTCTGCATAATTTTATATAAATAATTAACAAAAGCTCCAGAGTTGTTTGTCTATACAAATCAAAATAGTTGGAGAAGGGAAAAGCCACTTACCTTTTTTGGAATATGTAACAAGGAAGAGACAGATAGACTAAGTTGTTTGTAAACTTGACCATGCTCTGAAAAATGAAATTTCTAGGCATTCTTATCTGATGAACCAGACCTGTGATATTGGCTCAATATAAAAATCTTAGCAAAAATCAATATTTTATGTCAAATCAGTATCAATCAATATTAAAATCTTTGATTTCATCAACCAATAATAACATAGTTTGAATTTAAAAATGGAAGTTCTGTTTTGCTATATTTCTCCTGCTATTGGCTTATATATTTAACTTTGTAATTGATCCGTTTCAGTATATATTCGTGTGTGTGTGTGTGTGTGTGTGTATGTGTGTATACACACGTATACACACTTGGTTTCAAATGGTTCTTCATACAACTTATTGTAATGAATAGAAATAATGTTTCCATAAATACCACAATCAATATTGATACTGTGATTTCTACCAAAAGCTGTCTGAGAGTTTATTTTTACCTCAGTTTAGGATAAAATATGGTGCTAATAGTAGTAGATATATACTGCAAAGCCTGGTCCACATTCATGCTGGAAAATGATTTTAGGAAATTTTTCACAGGGTAGGTTATGTGATTTCTCTCTTCCATATATCTGGAAGGGCTTGTCTGAAAGAAGAATGTTACAGCAAACAGGATATATGTAGTTGGTGCCTGGGGCTTCTTGCAAAGCCATGCATTTCACCTTTGGCAGGAGAGGGCCAGACCCTTTGGAGCATTGAAAGCCCCCCTCCCCAGCTTCATGCCATGCTAGCTGCCAGGTATCCTGCACATCCGTTCAACAGGCTTGCAGCACTGGCAGCAGAGTGTGCCAACTCCTATCAGACACTGGGAATTTACTCTTAACACCTCAAGCGTTTGTCTCCTTGTTAACAGAGTCGTGTGTACTTTCAGCTTTGTGTAGTGTTTTCTGACTTCATCTGAAAATGTATTGAGGGTGTTTGTGAAACAGTATAAGTACAGACAGAAATGGCAATATTTATGACCTGTGATTTAAGCCCAAATGCTTGTAAATTCAACATTGCAGGCACTGCTGATCTTACAGTTTAAATACAAAGGAAACTGTAGCAGCCTTAATTTCCCATTGGAAGGATAGCATGCAGGGCTTCTAGTCCCTGGATTTTAAAGTAGGTGGATACACTCTCTGATTTGAAAAGGAACTGCTTTCTTGCCTTATTGCTTTGGAATAGAGACGAAAACATGAGCATTCTGCAGACAAAAATGACCTTAAATCACAGTGATTAAAAAAAGTTTTAAGTTAGCAGTGAACCAAAAGTAGTTTCAAATTAGCAGAGATACTTGAAGAACATTAAGCTTTAAAAGTTGAGATTGAAGATTAAATAAACCTTTATTAATTCTCTTTCTTGAAGTAGAGGGAAGGTCAGTTTTGCTCCCTAAAACAAAAGTTTTACTCAACAGAAAATTATCAACAGTACTTGGTTAAAGATTGCATTAATTTTAATTGTAATAGTTATTTGCTATAGGCTATTGATAATTAAGATTTCATTAGTTTTGTCTACTATAATTCTGACATATAGTTCGATCAAATACAAATTTTGATAAACTGTTACATTTTAACACCAGTTGGATTTAAAGTAAAATTAAGGTTTGCAAACAAATCCATAGTCCTCATTTCTTTATATTTTCACTTTTGTAAAAGTGCTTAAAATTTGTATTGTTTGTTTTGTATATCTTTGGGCATTTTGTGTCTATCTATAGTAAAAAGAGGTAGCACTGAAGTCCTCAAATGAAGTATATGGATATGTATGCATGTACACTTCTGTTCTTTGAAAATCTAATTATATTTTTTATTGTGGCAATTCTTGTTTTTTTTATTGTGTGATAGTTATTGAAAAAAGACGTCAGTAAATCTTGTTTTCTAGAAGATTTTTTTCCTTACAAAGAAATATTATGTTTGCCACAGCCCACCTTTCCCCTGATTAGTTCAGTTTATATATGGGGTGTATAGAGAAGGGGAAAAGGGGGAGAGGGACAATTTTTTCAAGTTACTACCCTGTTCATTTGGTAGAGTTTTATGCAGAACCTGTTGAGGAGTAGGATCTGTGCAGGGTGCCAGAGAACCTCTGGTGAAGAAGTCAAGACACAGTCCAGTGAGGAAGAGGACAGAAGCAGGTTACAGCACAGCCAGGCCTGTACGCAAAAAGTGCTACCAAAAGAATGTATGCTATAGGCAGTAGGCCTACTCCTGCAATTGAAACAGAGAGAAAGATCACTTGAAAAGTGGTAATTGTTCACAGTATTTTATTACTGTTCTTTGCAAGGCTTGTTATGGAAGCCTGATCTGCTTTAGTCTAGAGGAAGGAGTGGAGTAGACCAGCATCAGAAGTCTGATGGGGTCAGGGTAGAACTCAGTGGCAGAGTGTTGCCTAGCATGTGCAAGGCCCTGGGTTCCATCCGCAGTACTGCAAAAAAGAAACTAACCAACCCTGGATGCCCAGAGGAGCCAGCACCTTATCCTTAAGATGAGCACCGTGGAGGAGAGTGCAGGTGCCCTCACCCATCAACGGAAAATGACTAGTCTTTGAATTCAAAAAGCCTTGTCAGCTGGCTCTAGGTATTAAAGGAATTAATGCCTCAGCACTGGTGCCAGGATGTTACAATACCAATGCTTTTTAGCTCTTTGTGGAAGAGCCTTAAGAATAGGTGGGATTTTAGTGGACAATAGTTTCAAGAGATTGTGGGACTCTGGAGAATTTTTTTCCCCCAACTTGGGGATGAGATCAACCTTAAAAATTTCTGCCATCATATACATACAACAAAATTCAAATATTAATTACCTAAGGTGAAACATCTCAAATTTGGGTGAACCAGGTATATGGCTCTCTTGACATTTTAAAATACCACTATCAAGGATGGGAATGTAGCTTAGCAGTAAAGGGCTTGCTTAGCATCTGCATGGCCTTGGATTCGATCCCCAGAATCTCAAAAAAGCACTTCTATCATAGAGTACTTTTCTAATTAATTACTACTATATCTCCAAGAAAATTAAACAGCTTGGATCCTATAAGTAAACCCACCCAGCCTGGAGGACTGTGAGTCTGAGCACTAGCAAAAAGTTTTTCAATGCATTTTTGAGTGCCACTCCACAGCTCTCCAGTAGAGGGACCACTAGCTTGTTTCTTTCTCCCTTCTCTTCCCACTCTTCCTTCTGGGATTTTATTTATCTTTGGCTGCAGGTCTCTCTACATGTTTGATCTTGCTAGTTGACCCTTGCAGCTAAATCTCAACCTATATATGACTTCAAGCAAAAATAACTGTTGAGTGTAAGATTTGTATGTCACTGTAAGGAACTCAAGAATGAGTCTAAAGTCTCCTGTGCCCCTATTCCAAAATCTGGTTTCTCCACTGTACATCTAAAATTCACACTGACAAGTTTGTCATAAAATTCCTTGAGATGTTTTGGGCTGAAAAGCAGTACATATACTCTGTATAATTACTGTTTGGTCTTAAGAAATATCTTTAATAACACTCCAGGATGTATGTTTGGAATTCAGATCCTATTTATGTTACCACCACAATTTCATATCTCAATAAAACCAGTTCTTCCCTTTCAGAGAAATGACAGAGAAGGAGATATTGGAGGAAGTCATCAGATCCTCTGGCTAAAGCTAGATATCTGCTCAACACCTAAGAATGTCCCACAAACTATAAAGTCCCTGTTTCTGGATCATAGTTAAGGCTAGAGAATTCACAATTTCTAATATGAAACCCCACCTTACTTAGATAACAACAGCTTGTTGGCTTTTGCCAGACCAAATGTAGTAACAATGCAGCCCTCAGATGCTTTAAACCTCTTTGGAATGTTTTCAAATAAAATACTGGAAATTGCAAACACCTGATATATTCTAGGGGTTAGACATGTAACTGGATCATACTCTAGACTGAGGGTGAGAATGGAGGCTGTGGCCTCTGCCACATCTAGGGTCCATCTAGGAGCTGCTGGTGACCAAGTGTAGGGCTGAGGCTGGCTTCTCACAGTTCTGGTCCTCTTATGTACTGACTGCTCCTTGCCAGCAGGCCCATGAGACCCCTCCAGGAGACAGGTGTGGAAAGATCTGACAGCTAAATTCTCTGGTGACTTGGGTTCAGATAAGTAAATGATGAGGAGTGTGTTCAGAAAGAAGAAGAAGTCCAAAACATTTATAGGGTTCCAGTTGCTTACCATTTCGATAAACAAGGCTTTATTCAACACCAGTCTTGCCTGGAAATTATAGTAATGAAAAAATCTACACCATCAGCTCCATTAGGACAGTGAAGTCAAGAACCCAAGACTTACCACAAAATAGTCACAGTAATAATGAATATCTGCTGTTATCTGTCAGTTCAGTCCTACACGTTTGGCTGCCTTGTCGAGCTGATTTCTTTTGGTGGGGGTGGGGGGTCCTGGGGGGTTAAGCCAGGGGTGCTCTAAAACTGAAGTATATCACCGGCCTTTTTTATTTTATTTTTCCAGTACTGGGGATTGAACCTAGAAGCACACTACCACTAAGTTTCATATCCAGCCCTTTTCATTCTTTATTTTTAAACAGGGTCTAAGTTGGCTAGGCTAGCCACATACTTGCAATCCTCCTGCATCTGCCTTCTGAGGAGCTGAGATTAGAGGCCTGCGCCATCATGCTCGCTTTCCTAGCTGATTTCTGACAGAATGTGGTAACTATTATCCTTGCTGCTGAAAGAATCCCCTACCCACCTATTGAAAGTTACTCTCAATTCTAAGTAAATCACCATGTTTCTTCTTGACACTTCAGTTCCTTGGTTTCTATTCTTTAGTATTATTTATAGTAGGTCCAACCAAATTTTTAGGCATTCTGTTGAACCCCCACCCCCATCCGTACTTCTCAAAGTGTGAATCTCAGGGCAGTATCACTGAGTGACAGCCACAGTGGGGCCACAGGCCAGGCCTGTTCTGGCTTGATCATTAAGCTCTGGGTAGGACTTAAGAATCAACATGGCAGAAAACTCCTCAGGGGATTACTGCCATGTACCAAGGGGAAGAACCTCTGCCCCAAGATCACTGGCCCCGGGAAATGCAATTCTTAAATTGCCCACCTTCTCCCAGGAAGTCTGTATATAGGGTCTAGTTCTTGGATTCCCAATTCCCTGTCCTTGGCTTTTAGAGTCAGTGAATTGAGGGGATTTACAACCCTCAAAATTCAAAAGATCCCTCAGTGCACAGGACTAGGTGGTGCCTGTTTGCCAAGAGGTAAAGCCGTTTTTGAAATTCCTATTTTAAAATTTCACCTCAGAGTGTCTCAGAACTTGAAGCAAAGAACTACTGCACGACATACAGCAGGCCTGGGGCTGGCATCCTGCCACCCTTCCCTTGGGTTCTCTCAAATAGCTGGTTCTAGTGCAATCACACAACCCTGCCAACTGTACTCCTTATCACACTTGAATCCTTAATGTTCCCCACTCCCAACAATAATCATTTAATTAAATAATTCATCATAATGGAAGTTAGCAGAGTGCTTAGGCCACCGTGCCTTCTATCAGTGATTATTGATTGAAACTTGTCCTCCTAAGCAAACACCATTAGGTGCCCCCAGAACTAAAAGCACCAAGTGAAGCGTGCCCTTTGTGGTTTGACCCCCAAACTCAGAAACCAGGAAGAGGTGGGAAATGCCATTGGGATCATACCCGCTTCTCCCTCTTGCCCAGGTTACCTGGAAAGCATAAATCAGTCTTTTCCATGCAAAAGCAGAACTCTCTGGGGATAGGGCAATGCCCTTTTTGCCTGCCACTATCTCTAGCAGGCCTCTGAACTTCCCTGCTCTGGCAGAACTGAGATTTCCACATTTGCAATCCCAGCCTGGCCACCCAGGCATACAGAGCAGAGAAAAAGAGAATGGCCCCCTCAAGAGATGGAAGGCGAACTGGGAGACACCATGGGAAGCAAAATCTAGAGCCCCCAGGTGCCTTCAATTGCACCTTGCCTTTGCCTTTGAGGCTTGTCCTTGCTGACCTAGGCTGCACCTGTGCCCCAGCCATGCCTGGCTTCCTGCCATCTGCTCTCTGTAGCCAGTGTTTGTGGGGTTACAACCAAACTCCCTGGTCAACCTCAGCTACCCCCTCCATCACCAGGAAGCAGGAAGCCACAGGATATTCTCCTTGGCCTGTGCTGGTTGCCTTTGCCCACCTTGTCAAGGCCATGTATATTTTAAAGCCCTTTTTATCTGACTGACCATTCTGGTTAACTGCACTCACTCCTTATCACAATAAAACTTGAGACCTTAATGTGCCTGCCCACAAAATAACCACTTAATAATTCATCACAAGAGAAGTCAGCAGGGCACTTAGGTAATTGCATCTTCCATCACTACCTATTGGAACTTGCCTTGCTAAGCAGACATCAAAACCAAAAGCCCACGTGTGGTCTGACTCCCATGGTGGCCTCTCCCATTCCCTTCAGTCTCCTTTCAATGGGGTCCTCCCACTTGGCTTTCCTCCACCTCCACTTTGGATTGGGCCCTGACATCTAAGTTCATGTTCATCTTCCTGGTGGTGTTTCACACAAAGGGGCCTCATGCTGGGCGGGGGGCTGACACTGATCTTTTTTTTTTTTTTTTTTTGGATTTTCTGCTTTTATCAAATGTGGCTTTTTAATAACTACATAAAATGACACTTTAGAAGTCAGCATCTGCTTCCTAGAAATTTGAGTGATTCTCTTTGTCTCCCTCCCTCCCTGTCTGGGTTTCTATCCCTCCCCCTTTCTCCCCCCCGACCCCAGTGTGTCTTTATTGATAGTTCCCATTGGATGTTTTCTTTGTTAAATTTTATTTTGATTGCTTTTTATTATTAT